AAAATATGTTCGAAATTTTTACCAAAAAAATAATATACTCTCTGTATAGTCTCTATTTATATTATAATCTACATGTTATAATATAATAAAATATAATAGTATTTAAACAATTTTGTTTATTACRTCATACTATTCAGAGTTAATTGTCAATTGAATAAACAAAATTGATAAATTAAAAATAGCAGTTTTAATAGCAAATTAACTTTCATAGAGATAAATTTGTACTAATGGATAATTTTCTTAACATTACATTTGAATGTTACCTTGATATTGTCACCATAGTCTGATATATACAACAAAATGTTATATAGTATGTATATGACTTTATTAAAGATTCAGTAAAAGAAAGAAAATACAACACGACTCCAAGTCCCATAGCTACTATTGCCATTATCATGTCTCCATACTTGTCCCAATCTCCATTTACTCTACCAATCGCATACGTAGCGACAGCGCCTCAAAAAATTTAAGAAACATTAATAATATCAATGTAATATAATATAATCTTTTGTTAGTTTATGAAGACCCCGCTACATAAATATTTTAAATAAATAAAATACAATTTGGATATTATACTAAAAATTGCATTAATTTACTGAATAACGTGGCCAATGATTCGACTGCACCRTTCAAAGTGTTTAAATTACCATGCGCTTCAATTTCTTCCCAATAAAGCTGGATATATTGCGAAACCTGAAAAAACGTGAATCAGTCTTATAATTTAAAAGACTATRATTTGTTGTAAAATAATAAAACTAATATCAGCTATTGTATAAATAAATGAAAAATGTTTACCAATACATAACCACTAAGTGACAACGACCAATAAATTGACCATTTYAATACGTTAGCATCCGCATAAGCTACATTAAAATCATCCCACAGCTTTTGAATAACTTCAGAGAATTTCATTTTTACAAAATATTTCTGTATTTATAAAGTTAGCAGTATCATCAACATTATATTGTTATCAAGAAGAATATTATTCATTTTTCCTTTTTCTTACTCTTATATTATTTTGATCTAGATTAATATTATTGGATTCATTGATTTTTGTTCGTATAATTTTTTCATTATCATCTACAAACACGTCTAAAACTTGTTTATTTTCTCTATAAAAATATAAACTAAACTTAACTGGTGGTAAAAATAATGACCAAATTGTAGTTAAAATCATACCTAAAACAAATTATTCAAGTACAAGTTTAAATGTAGACGTTATGTAGAAAATGCAACAAAATATATATATATATAT